ACAATAAAAGTGAATATACTACACACTACACTACACTACACCAGCGACAATAATAACTTATTTTGACTAAGATTATACTAAAAAAAATAGTAGCACAAGTAGCACTATATCAAGTAGCACGTGTACAAATGAGTAGCACCATATTCACCATTTGTGCTACATACTTTTTCATTATGCTACCACAGTTTGTAATTGTGCTACTCAATGTAGCACAATTCCAAAAAACGCCCTCTACATTAGCACAATAACAAATTGGGACCAAAAAAATTTAGCGCCGTTTCAAAAAAACCATGCCCCCTAACCCTGACCCTAACCCTAACCCTAACCCTAACCAATCCTAACTCACAAACTCTTTCCCGCCCACCATTGATTACCACCTTTGCCCCATCTCTTCCTAACCTGGCCCACATTCTCCATCAATATTTTCCCATCATTACAAATGACCCAGCAACAGAAACCAATTTCCAAACACCACCTCTATCCTCCTTTCGACGCCCCGCCAATCTAAAAGACATTCTTAGCTGTTCTGCCTTTTGATCATCAACCACTAAAAAAATTATCCATTCTAGTTCCACCTGCAAATATTGCCCCTACTTCCGTAGCCTCCAATACAACACTTCCAGCTGACCAATCCCTCACCTGCAAATCACAGAATGTCATTTACATTATCACCTGCCTTCCCTGTCACAAACAATATATTGGTGAAACATCAAATCCTTTTCATACCCGCCTCCAACAACATAGATACAACTACACACATCATATACCATCCACCCTCAACTGCCACTTTGACTCGCCAAACCACACCACCACTCCCTCCTTCACTATCTCACCCAATGTTATGATTTCCTACACCACCAAACGCAAAGCCCTTGAATGCTCCCTTATCCTTAAGCTCAACACAACTTGAATTCTCGTACATAAACGTACTTTTTCACACATGGGAGTGTATACTATGTTCAGAGATACTTTATTTAATGTTGTTTGAAGGTATACATATGAAGGTCATATTATTTTGATGAATATATTGAAAACTCAAAAGCTAAAATTATTGATTCACAAAAAACAAAAAGACCATGCTATGAAATTTAACTCAATTGCCATTCAAGATTCACCACTTTGCTTAATTCCCTGCATTTTCACCCTAACACTTTTAGAAATGTTTTTATTTCCACGAATGTGATTTAAAAATACCGTAACTGAATGCATATTTACGTATAAATAGAATATAATGGTTCATATTAGAGAAAACAAGTTTAAAATGCCAAAATATATTGTAGCACAATTACAAGAATTGCGCCCTCATTGGCCATTTGAAACATTTTATTGAGCTCCATTATTAAATACTAACTCCACTTATTTGAGTTTTACACATAACTTTTGTTAAGTTATTACGAAGTCAGAGTGAGTATTTGTTCGTTCGTATAGACATATTACAATGCTTGAGAAAATGAATGTGACTAGTGAATAAAAACAAAAGCATTTGAAAAATTGTAATTGTGCTACAGGCGCCATGTTGTTTTCTAAAGTTCGAAATTGACACCATTCAGGATTTATCTGATTTCTTGGTTATTAAAAGACCTGCTACATAACCTGTTTACTCGACAATGTAGTGGGTACCCAGGCACAAAGGTGTGGACTGATAGCATTCAAATATTAGAATAAAACATCATATATCAAACAATTTTACATACTACATCAGCATGCATCGTTTGCGGGATATTTAGAACAAATTCACAATTGGAAATTGTAATTGTGCTACGGCAGCCATTTTGTTTTTTGAAAATACCACAGTTGTACCATTCAGAATTTAATAGTGCTATCGGAAATTAAAAGGCCAACAGAAGCGCCATTTCACTAAATGGTGCAGTGATAACCTATAAACACAAATGTGAACTGTTTCTAGTCAACAACAATAGGGGTCAATTTGAGAACAATATTGGTCAAATTGAGATCAATAGGGGTCAACTTGAGAACAATAGAGACCTGAGAACAATTGATGCCGCCACGGAGAACAATAGTGGGGTAGGCTGGAGCCAATCTGAGGCCAAACTGAGTCAAGAAAACAAATCCGGCAACTGTTGGGGCTGCGCAGGAGCGAGCAAGGCCCTCTAGACCCGCCATGGTCGAATTTACAGGGTGCAGCGCAAACCGGAGTCAAATCCGACCAGAAATGAGCTCACACGGAACTTTAAAACACAAGGCGCCCGAAGGTCAAATCGAAGTCACTGGGTCACGGGGTCAAATTGAAAACAATGGAGGTCAAATTGAGAATAGGGACCAGAGAACAAAGGAACCGCCACAGGGAACAATAGTGGGGTTGACTGGAGTCAATCTGATGCCAAATTGAGCCACGAAGACAAATCTGGCACGTTATGGGGCTGCGCAGTAGCGATCAGCAGTAGCATTATTTAGACCCGCCATAGTCAAATTTACAGGGTGCAGCGCAAACCGGAGTCAAATCTGTCTGGAAACGAGCTCACATTGGACTTTAAAACACAAGGCGTCCGGAGGTCAAATCGAGGTCAAATTGGGAACAATAGGGTCAACATGAGTACAATAGGGGTCAAATTGAGAACAATAGGGGTCAAATTAAGAACAATAGAGGCCGCCACAGGGAACAATAGTGGGGTACGCTGGATCCAATCTGAGGCCAAATTGAGTCACGAAAACAAATCTGGCACCTTCTGGGTCTGCGCAGTAGCAATCAATGCCCTCTAGAGTTATGCAGTAGCGTTATTTAGACCCGTTATGGTCGAATTTACAGGGTGCAGCGCAAACCGGAGTAAATCCGACCAGAAATGAGCTCTCACGGGACTTTAAAACACAAGGCGCCTCGGAGGTCAAATCGAAGTCACAGGGTCATGGGGTCAAGTTGAAAACAATGAAGGTCAAATTGAGAACAATATGGGTCAAATTGAGAACAATAGGGTCAACTTGAGTACAATAGGGGTCAAATTGAGAACAATAGAGGCCTTAGAACAATTGAGGCCGCCACAGGGAATAATAGTGCGGTATGCTGGATCCAATCTGAGGCCAAATTGAGTCACGAAAACAAATCTGGCACCTTCTGGGTCTGCGCAGTAGCGATCAAGGCCCTCTAGAGTTGCGCAGTAGTGTTATTTAGACCCGTTATGGTCGAATTTACTGGGTCATTATATATGGGATAAATACCACATGCCTCTATCTATGGGAAGTGTGATAATAAGCAATAAATACCACATGCCTATATCTAATGGACATGTCATTATATATGGGATAAATACCACATGCCTATATATATGGGAAGTGTGATAATACAAGGGATAGATACTACATGCCTATATCTAATGGACATGTTATTATATACGTGATAAATACTACATGCCTCTATCTAATGGACATGTCATTATATATGGGATAAATACCACATACCTATATCTATGGGAAGTGTGATAATACAAGGGATAAATACCACATACCTATATCTAGAGGATAAATACTACATGCCTCTATCTAATGGACATGTCATTATATATGGGATAAATACTACATGCCTATATCTATGGGAAGTGTGATAATACAAGGGATAAATACCACATGCCTATATCTAGAGGATAAATACCACATGCATCTATCTAATGGACATGTCATTATATATGGGATAAATACCACATGCCTATATCTAGAGGATAAATACCACATGCCTCTATCTAATGGACATGTCATTATATATGGGATAAATACCACATATCTATATCTATGGGAAGTGTGATAATACAAGGAATAAATACCACATGCCTATATCTAGAGGATAAATACCACATGCCTCTATCTAACGGACATGTCATTATATACGTGATAAATACCACATGCCTATATCTATGGGAAGCGTGATAATACAAGGGATAAATACCACATACCGGTACCTATATCTAGAGGATAAATACCACATGCCTATATCTAATGGACATGTCATTATATACGTGATAAATACCACATGCCTATATCTATGGGAAGTGTGATAATACAAGGGATAAATACCACATGCCTATATCTAATGGACATGTCATTATATATGGGATAAATACCACATGCCTATATCTATGGGAAGTGTGATAATAAGCAATAAATACCACATGCATATATCTATACGATAAATACCATTGTATAGGGCAGTTGTAGACACAGCACCACAGATAACAAATACATGGCAGCAATTCTTTTAATTCTAATAAGAATTGAACAAGTAATAATCTCATCCAACCAAGTAATACTACAAATTGCATGAAACTGAATTTCAAAGAAAACGGTAATTTAAGAAACATTGTCAAATTTACATTCACAAATATATAACTGAAATATTTTGAGATTTTAATATTGATACTTTGTACTATTGATAATAATTTGTTTACAATGGGAAAAAAATGCTTACGTAAATAAAGTGTGAAATGAATGTTGAATAGTTAGCAAAAATATGTACATGTCCACGACACATAATATGAATTTATTTTAGCATCAAGCAAGGAACCAACCAATGAGTAAATTTGGGAACAGTGACACATACAGAGAACATGTCCAGTTACATTAAGAAATGTATTGGTACATGTACAATTTATAATTACTAATCAGTTATTCATACATTTAATGCTTTCCACTAACACAAATTTTGACTTCTCAGTTTTCTTCAATGATTTCAATTAAAAGAAAAGTCCCACAGATATATTCTGTGAACGTAAAGGCACCATAACACAACTAAGACTTCTGTTGACATATGGCATGTTGCTCTCAGTGTGCCCTCTAACAGGACTGAATTTGTAGGATCTGTAGTTAAAATGAAATACCAAAAATATAGCTGTGTCAGCTTGGTGACGAGGTTATTCAAGGAAAAATGAATACTGTATGTTGCTGTGGGAAGCTTTGAAGGCTATTTTGTTTATAAAATGTAAATTTCATTTTACAAAATTACAAAACTATAGCAAGATATTTTAATGCATGATTTGTTTTTACATTAGCACACCAGACAATAAGCATTACTAGTTACGTTACAGAAAATCCCCATTCATCAATGACATGCACAGACTTAAAGAGCACACTAGCTGTATTGAAGGAGCAAATATTCCAAGAGAATCTAAAACTCCTATCTTAAAGAAATACAGCACATATTTCAATTTCTTGTAAATAAACAAAGCAATTTGTGCGACACCTATCAAAAGTCTTATTTTTTGTTCAACATGTGCTGCATACATTTATTTGGGTTGCATTAAAGCCAGGAAACTACAGATACCATTACTTGTTGTACATATAATAGCAATACATGTACATGTGTGTATTTATTGTTTTTTAGTATTACCACAAACAGAAGCACCTAGAATATAACTGAAACAAAAATTCATAATCCCGAAAATATGGTTGGTATCTGTAACAGCAACACTTGTAATCCGTTATTAAGCAAATATGTTGTTTCTCCCTACACGCCACCATTGTAACAATACCACCTTGTTCATGTAAGGTGAGGTAACTAGATAATAATGCCCAAGAAAACATTAATGCAACAAATTCTGCATAATGCAAAACGGCTACCTGGCTTCTGCATAAAGCAAAATGCAAAATGGCTACCTGGCTTCTGCATGATCCAAAATGGCTACCTGGCTTCTGCATAATGCAAAATGGCTACCTGGCTTCTGCATAATGCAAAACGGCTACCTGGCTTCTGCATAATGCAAAATGGCTACCTGGCTTCTGCATGATCCAAAATGGCCACCTGGCTTCTGCATGATCCAAAATGGTTACCTGGCTTCTGCATAATCCAAAATGGCTACTTTGCTTGATTCTGAATAATGCTAAATGGTTCCCTGGGAAGGTTCCATGTTTTGAATGCTCATCTCAAAGACACTGCCCTCTAGTGACTGGCATAAGTTAAGGTACAAATTATGTAATAAATGCATTATTTGAAAAGGAAAAAAAAATGAGGTTATGTTTTCACCTTTACAGTTAAATTAAAAATTATACTTAAAATAAACTGACAAAAAACAATGATCATCTGCGGTGATGGTTTTGCCTCCATCTATCATAAGATCTAAATCCACCACCACCACTGCCACGACCACGACCTCTGCCACGGCCACGTCCCCAACCCTGACCTCTATCATAACCATCTTGCCAGTGTCTATCATCACCTCCCCAATGTCTGTCCCTTTCCCATCCACGATTATGATCACGATGATCTCTGTCTGAGTCTCTCCGAGGTCGACGTTCATCCTTATCATAATCACGACCAAACCGACTGGGCCGATCATCATACTGTTCGTGTACATGAACCCTTTCCCGCGAACCCCTTCGAAATGATGGCAGAGAATCATCTTCTGAAGATGTCCTCCTTTCTTGGTGATGCCTTGGAAAGTCTTCTGTGGCTTTCCGAAGATCCTCAGGGGCTTTAGGAAGTTCTTCAGGCGCTTTAGGAATTTTTACAGCTGGTTTTGTAACTTCCTCTGCATGTTTTGTTAATCCACTCGGTGGAGGTTCCAGAGCAGGTTCTGGAACAGGTTCCTGCAGGGGACTAGACTTTCCACTATCCATACCCTGTGGACTTAGGAAACTGGCAGTTGGTGACAGAAAGCTGGATGACGATGACGATACATCAAATCCTAAACCAGGAATTGTTATAGCAGGATCGTCATCTGCTGATTCAGTCTTGGTGGCGGCATTATCAACATCTATTTTCGTTGCATCAGACTTTGTTTTTGTATTAGTTTTTGCAGATTCTTCAGATTCTATTTTGGAAGCAGCTATAGACTTGGCACCTCTATCATCTTTGACAATGTCAACAACAGAATTTTTCTCACAAGGCTTGTCCAATGCCTGTGAGGCTACCGAAGCAAGCGTACTAGTTGTACGAGAAATATCAGCCTGAAGATTCTGAATTTGAGTTTCTAAAAGTGCCTTCTTGGCTTGTTCCAGTTCTTTTGCAAGAGTTGCAAGTTTTTGTTTTTGTTCTGACAAGTTAGAATCAACAGTTAGAGGCACAACCTCTTTTTCCTGTTTGACCTCTCCTAAAACAGTATCTAGTAATTTCTGCGCAGATACATTACTATTTTGGTTCATTACTGTGGGTACAGATACTTTACTAACAGGGGCTTTAGGAGTGGCAACAATTTTGGGAGTAACAGTAGATACTGGTGCAGTGAACTCCTTCGAAGTTGGAGAAAGGTCAGCAATATCATTATCATTATTATCAGCATCTTCTTCATCATCACTACTGAATTCTCCGAGGACATCGTCTGAGGGATCATACGGTTTCTCTTCTGCCTCCGCCGCATATTCCTGACTTGGAGAGTAAGGAGCTTCTTCCAAGCTGCTTGTAACGGGTGCAACTAAACTCGAAGGATCAATATTTGCAAATTGTCTGACAATTGGATCATAACTTTGTTGCTCAGTGATATAAAGTTCAGTTTGTAGTTTTCTCTCTTTACGTTTGATGTCTTCTTCTTTCTCCATTAACATGCATTCTGTAATCACTGAGGATAATGGTGGTGATTTAGATTCAAGACTATCATCAGAGAACCGTCTTTTTATCACTTTAGTAGTCTCCTCAGAGTGGCGTCGTTTGGAGTGTTTTTGGCTGTGACGAGATTCAATTTGGCCGGGAAGGCTGTGTCTCTGACGCTTTTGTTTGATGATCACCCCTAACAACATGTGTGGCCTGAATTCATCCAATCCTATGTACAGACAAAATAAAACAATAATGAAATAAAGCACACTTAAGTCTCTGTAAATAAATACTTAGTAGCTTTCACACCAAATTAATAGAAGTAAATTAATTTAAATGAATGATCCTAATTTATTGCTAAGGGTTTCAGTTATGCACAGTTCTCTGGCAAAACTGCATTTCAATTCCAAGGTCATTTAAAATTGCATTTCAGCTTTGCTGAAAAGGCTTTTTGGTTTTTTTGTAAGGAATTTATTTTAATAATAATAATAATAATAATTATTATTATTAATTTATTTTCACTGATTTTTGATGAATTGAATGTGAAACACAGTGAAAAAAAATATACTCGCTGGATTTTATTTTCACTGAATCATCCCTTCAGCGAAATTTAAATTCCAAGCAGAAATAAAGTATTTTACAGTAAACACATGATCAAATTGAAAGACAACGAGACTGTTAACATACACTGATGAAAAACATTGAAGTTTCAATGTTTACATATATCCCACAAATTGTACAAATTCACAGTTTTAAATACTTTACATGAGACATTATTTCTGTATATGGATGTTGTTATTTACCTGGACCATCAAATGGCAATAAAGCAGATGGAATTTTAGCATGGCCAGCCAAAGGTATCAAATACATATCTTTGACATGTTTAGTGTTATTGCCAACAACACCACATCGCCGTCGACTACTAAAGTAGGAATACATGGATATATACGATACTTTTTCTTCCTCGTTGGCTGCTTGAAAACGAATGATACAGATATCTTTAGTAGCAGAGGTGCGAATTTTACTGATGTAATCATACACCTGTTCAAATGATATTCTACCACACAAGTGAAGAGTGTCCGGTAAATCCTGAAGAGATACAATACATGAATGATTAGGGACAACGTCAAAAGTTCAATGTAGGATAAAAAACTTAATTCCTTTAGTTTTTTTTCCAAACCCCCCTACCCCCCACTGAAACTTAATTGATAAATATTGACCATGGCGTCAGACTACATTCACTATTAAATACAAATTGATAATCCGACAGTAGTATGGCGTAGCAGTTGGTTGTCGGGTGGGTGTAAAAAGGCTTTACACTCGAACCAAACCATTTTCTCGTCTTGGATGTGTTTTTTTCATTTTCTGTTATTTTTGTCCATGATTGGATAGAGAAAAAAACAAATTACAAATACTCCAAGATTTTTTTGACTTCATTAAAAAATAAAATCGTTTTTGTAGGATAGAAACTTTTTGAGGTCAAAACCCCCCACCCCCAAACTAAAGCAAATAAGTTTTTTATCCGACATCGATCTTTTGACTTCGTCCCTTAGTGAGTTAGTGTAAACAAGAAAATTGTAACAATATATTCTCATTAATGACAATTAATAAAAGTCACTGTGATATCTTGTCTCAAGAACTACAGTGAATAGTTCACGGCTCCAAAGTGGTTTTACAGTATTAGTAATTACTGAATAAAGTCAATCACAATAGCAGATAAATTAATAGTGCGTTTTCATTATTGGACCAATGTTTAATATAATAAATAAAAAAATAAATAAATAAATAATATCTGAAGCGTCGGGTGTTCTTTTATTTGTTTAATTAGTTCATAAATTTGAAAGTAGCGCATATTCACATCGCCATCGTGTGTTCGAATCATGAAATTCACCGGTAAATTGACCATTCGTTTTTTTAATTTAATACAAATTTGTTGTTGTGTTTTTGGTAGAGCAGCACCACAAGATCTACTCACCGTCATAAGATTTCCTGTTGGTCCAGATACCTTATAAGACACTGTAGCAAACTTAGCTAAGTTCTGCATCACAACAAACCCTTTCCAGACAGAGATACAATCAACAGATGCAGGCGGGGACTCCGCTTCGACTGGACTCTCAGGCATAGGACTGTAAGGAGACAAAATGAATAACCATAAATGATGATGTCATCATGAGGTCTCAGAAATTGTAATGGTAACCAGAAATAAGGGTTGTATGTCTGGAAAATTGAAACACACTAGTAATGGAAGTTAAGTACCAGACTCATACCAGTCCGTCATTTCAAACACAAACACAAATTCTGATCGTTACACATAAAGAAAATATTTATGTCATCAAAAAACCAATATTACTTCAGTTTAATATCACAAATATACACGTTTAAAAATAAATCAATGAAAAAACTTAGAAAAAACTCTGAAGGTAATTGAAGGGAAAGATTGAATGCAAGAAATATTGTAAAGTGCTTCAATCTTGTGAGAGACCGATTTTCTTGACTCAGTGATAATCAACAAATTTTGTAGTAGTGAAAATTTCTTTGAGGTTCCAAGGTCCGGGGTATCAGTGACTTTCACAAAATTTTGTATTCATGAATGTCATCTAAATATTCAAATCACAAGCAACAAAAATTAAGCAGCTTAAAATAAAAGTCAACTCAAATCAGATCAGATCATGCAGAAAGAGTTAAAATAGTTGTACATTGAAGGTAACATTGTAGTTGTAAAATATGAACAAGTTTTTACTTACTGTAGAACACTTTATTTTCGCTGAAGGGATGATTCCGTGAAAATAAAATCCAGCGAATATACATTAATCTCATCAAAAATCAGTGAAAATAAATTCCAAGCAAAACGCCAGAAAAAGCCTTTTCAGCCAAAATTAATTCCAGCGAAAATAAAGTATTCCACAGTACATGATGCAACATTACATACAATGAGAGCTAACCAAAGCCGTTTTTGTATTAAATTTGCCTGCATCTGTTTACTGTTTTCGATGATGTGAGACTCACACATTCATGATATTGTTACTTTAACTAACACAAAACTTTACCTTGCTTCTACTATATCCATAGATGTTGACGGTTTTGGTGAATCAAACACACTGCTACTTTCTGTATCTTCTGATTTCACTGAATCATTTCCACTGCCTGCCACTGGGGGCACTTTAGCAGTTGGACTCAGTGCAGCAAGAATTTTAGGTTTCTTTGATGCAGATGGTTCATCACTAGGGGGCGCCATTTTACCAGTACAGATTTTACAGTTCAAATCAAACAGATGGGTTTTATGTTGTTCTGTTGTGTCAGTTAACATTACTCCAATTGGTTGAGCTTTCTCTGGTTTGGCTTTTTCCAATGGAGCCTATGTAATAAATCAGATGTTGTGAATTGTAATGAATTTTGTAACGTATCCAAGAAAGTAAGGTACAAACACATGTTGTTAAGATAGAGAAAGACTAACCAAGAATATACATTGACCGATAAAATAATGCAAGTTTGCGAAAGAACAGACAAAAATTACTCGATTTATTGGTGCTACAACAAAGCGTTGTTAATGACAATAATAGGTGTGAACAAAGAAAGACATTGGCAACTATCCTTTGCCACTTTATTATTATATGTGCACGGTAAAAAAAAAAAACTTAAGTTTTACACAATTTACCTATTTATATGCACATATTTGAAAAACAAGCCTTTAAAAGTTATATTGATATTTCTGATTTACATAAGCATGACAAATTAGTGTTCTTGTTTACTGGCAGCGACTGAATGGGAGTACCAAACAACCCAAAGATGCAGGACATGTCAAACTAAGTGATTTTTAATACAAGAAACAATATTTCACCTCCAAATCTGCAAGACTGTCCTCTTCAATTTCTATTTCTCCTTTGTGTGTTTTCTTTGTTAATTGTATGTGTCTAGATTCTTCCTCTGCTTGCTTTACCTGCATCTCCAGTGTCTGGAAAAGAAATGAAAACACAAATAATTTGCTTTTCATATTTCATTGGAAAATATTGATACATTCCTGCAGCCAATATGAAATTATGTCAACGGGAATGATACAAAATTAACAACAACAAAAATTTCCCATCATCTTAAATCTGAGATTGGTCCATATGTACATTTTCAAAGCAATCAGACTTGCAGTTTTCAAGACATAGTCAAAAATATCACTTTTTACCAAAAAATGAAGAAATCAAGACATTGAACCATGACTAAAGCTGCACACAGTTAGCCAAGGTTGAATGACAGTTTTACAATAGAAGTTTAGAAGCATTTACTGCATATGAATACAGCAGTTGTTTGCAATCTGCATAATCACAGAGAGACATGTGGATTTACATTAAGGTAGCGAGAGGGGAAACATAATTTATAGTTTAATGGAGTTTAGGACTTTCCTCGCCAGTTACTAAGCATGCAGTTATGGCAATGTATATGTTTTCAGAAAGCTGAGATATAGCAGAGTACGATCATATATGTTTCGTCTTGATATTTGCTCAGGGGATTAAGTTACGATCGTTCCCGTTAACCTCCTAAA